GGCCCGTGGCGGCCAGGCATCCAGCGGGCACTTTCGCATGCCAAGGCTGGCGCGTTCGCTCGCTGTCTTTGTCCGGAGGTTGGGCGGGGGCAGGCCGGGCGACGCCCGAGGTCATCTTCGGGTCCCGGCCCGTGGAGTTGGAGGCTTCGCCGCCGCGATGTTTGCGAGGGCAAGCTGGCCGCGTTTGACAGGGAGGGCAATCGTGGGGCTGGCGCCCTGGCCGAGCAGGCAGCAGCGCTAGTCCATGGAAGGGGGCATCTTTTTGGTTGGGCCCAAGGGCCCCGCCGGGGGCGCGGGCGATGCCGCCATTGGACGGACCTGCCCACTCCCCCCCAGGCCGGGGGCCCCAGGACTGTGTGCCGCCCTGGAATTTTTGGTGTTACAGCCTCTGGGAGTTCCCCGTGGTCTCGGCGGGGGCTGAGCTCCATGGTTTTTTTGTTGATCACCTGTTGCGAATCCGCCGCGATTGCCGAATCGCCTCGCGGCCTCGAAGGCCGCCGTCTCTGTCAGAATTTATCCGTGCAAAGTGCTGGGGGAAAAAGAATTCGGATGCGTTTCCAAGGCTGGTGCGCCCAAGAAGAGCTCGCAAGCTTGGCCAGCACAGAAATCCTGGGGACCTCGTTCGTTGCCTTTTCTGTCCTCGGTGGTGTGGCGCGCAATTTGAAGCTGGCCAAGCGAGTGCTGTGCCGCCGAGGTGCAGAACAGTAACAGGACCCAGGTTCTCCGGTCAGCGCCCTCCCAGCCACTCGGGCATCTGCCAGTGTTTTGGGCTGGGCGAAGAGAGGGCTCGGCAGTTCGGCCGCGACCCCGATTTTTTCAAGGCAAGCACCTAAGATGGCGCCCCCAACCAGGGTGACGACAAGTCCTCTCCGATGGTGTTTGCCCCGTTTTTTTTGTCGACACCGAAATTTCAAACTCTCTCCCCTCTCTCATTATACTCATATGTGTGTATGTATGTATGTATGTATGTATGTATGTATGTATGTATGTATGTATGGATGCATGTATGTATGTATGTATGTATGTATGCATGCATGCATGTATGTATGTATGTATGTATGTATGTATGTATGTATGTATGTATGTATGTATGTATGTATGTATGTATGTATGTATGTATGTATGTATGTATGTATGTATGTATGTATATATATGCCCCTTTGTTTGCTCTCTCTCTCTCTCTCTTTCTTTCTCCCTCCTGTGAGAGCGTCCAATCATTCTCCTCCTCTTCCTCCTCTTCTTCCTTCTCCTCCTCCTTTCGCTCCCGTTTCCGTCTCAACGTGTTCGTTTTCCTCCCTCTTCTCTTTGTGTTTCTGCCCCCCTCCGTCACCGTTCGTCGTCATTGCCCCCCCTTCTTCTCCTCTTCCTTCCTCCTCGTTCTCTTCGTGCTCCCCATCGGGGGGGAGCAGGGATCGGACCAGCGTGCGCCGCGATGGTCGCCCCAACGCCACTCAGCCGGGCGCTTATTTCTCCACGCGCGGGCGATGTCGGCGGCTGCAGAAGAGGCGCATTAAGGAAAACCCCTGCCGCCATCATCGTTTCTTGCCATTTGTCTGCCTCTCTTTCCCCTCCCCCTCCCTCCTCACCCTCGCCCTCCTCGTCCTCGTCGTCGTCGTCGTCGTCGTCGTCCTCCTCCTCCTCCTCCTCCTTCTCCTCCTCCTCTTCATTTTTTCCTTCCCCATGCGTCGTCCTCCTCTTCCCCTTTTCGTTCTCTTCCCCTCCTCCCTCCTCGTCCTCCTCCTCCTCCTCCTCTTCCTCCTCCTCCTTTTCCTCCTCCTCCACCTCGTGTTTCTCCTTTACCGTGCAGCCTGCAGTCGACTGCTGCACGCCCCCGGCCGTGGTGCTTCAGTAGTGCCCGTCCGAAGATTTTGAGCCCCGAGTCCTGAGTCATCCTCGTCGTCCTCCTCCTTCCCCCTTCCCCCTCCCATTTCCTTGTCTTGTTCCTCCTCCTGATGCTCCGTCTCCTCGTGCCTCGGGCTGTCTCTCCCTCTTCTTCCTCTCAGTCTTACCCTTCCTCCCTGTCCTTCGCCCCTGCCTGCCTTGCCTTCTTTCCTCCCCCTTCCTGCCCCTCAAGGGTTGTAGTGGCCCGTATGCGGCCATGTAAATCGCCCGGGCAGGGGCTACCCTAGTTCTAGGCCTACCCTAGGCCCACCCTAGGGCCTACCTCTAGGGCTACCCTAGGCCTACCCCTAGGGTCTACCCCCAGGCCTACCCTTGGCCTACCCTAGTGTTTACCTCTAGGGTCTACTCCTAGGTGTACGCCCAGGGCTTACCCCAGGCCTACCCCTAGGCCTACCCTACGTCTACGTTCGGGCCTACCCCTAGACCTACTCCTAGGCCTGCCCTGAGGGCTTACCCCAGGCCTTGCTCTTAGGGCTACCTCTGGGGCTGCCCTAGGCGTTGCCCCTAGCTCGAGGGCTACCCCAGGGCCTACCCCCAGCCCGACCCTGGCTAGGCCTTTCCCTCACGCCTTGTCATGGCCTATGCCCGCTCTCCGACCCGACCCGCTCATCAGGGTTCTTCCGATCTGGCATCGCCGTCTTCCGTTTCGCACCGATCCCGACCCGACCCGCCCGACCCGACCCGCCCGTCTGGGCCCGCCCGACCTGACCCGACCCAAACCGCTCGACTGGACCCGTCCATTATGGCCCGCCCGACCCCGCCCGACCCGATCCGCCCGTGACGGCCCGCCCGGCTCGACCTTTGCATGCGTGAGTTTCTTTGGGTGAAACAAAACGATATTTTCCTTGTATATATATACGCATCTAAAAACAAATAGCATTCAGTTTTGAAATCGTCACGAAACCGAAGGTTTTCGAAGGATTTCCGCATGCGCGCGACGACGCGCTCGCGCGCACTTCGCCCCGCTTTTTGCAGAGGATTTTCGCGGCGGCACACGCGCGAGGGCGTTCGAGCGCTTTCGACGCGCGCGCGCGCGAGGCCCGTTTGGTAACATTTTCTGAATACTTTGAAACACGTATGATTTTGAGCGCGCGTAATACATACATATAATGATACACGCAACATTGAAAACCGTGCTGCGAAACCACGTGTCTTCTGTGAGCGAGTTTGCGCGCGTGGTGCGTAGTCATTTTTTGCAGAGGATGGCCGGGGGGGGGGTCGATGCCGGCCGCCCCGTGGCCCCGGAGTGGGAGCCTCCTCAGAGGCTCGAGGGTCGCGGCAGTTGCCGGGCGGCCACTCCACCCCTCGAGAAGCTGGGGGCGGGCGGGCGCCCAGACCTCCGGCGCACTGGCGCCGATCTTGCCAGTGGTCGAACCGGCGTCGCCGTTGCTGCGTCGTCGTCGTCGTCGTCCTCCTCCTCCTCCTCCTCCTCCTCCTCCCGTTCCTCCTGCCCCTCCTCCTCCTCCTCCTCCTCCTCCGCCCTCCTCGTGCCTCCTCAGGCTCCCTCTCCCCGACAGCGCGCCGCGGTGACATGGGTGCCAGGCCCCCTGGGAGCCTCGCGAGTCTCGTCTGGGTCCTGGTCTTTGTCTTTGCCCGCCTGGCGTCGCGGGCCGCGCTGGCGCCCCCCGCGCTTCAATGCGTGAGCAAGAAGGGTGGGGGGAAGGGCTCTGCGCCGCAATTGTCCGGCTCGAGCGCCCCGACCCGCCCGCCCTGTATAGCTTGAGCTCATGTGCTCCGTGTGTATGGCGCCCGGACCTCCGGCGCGCCGGCGCCGATCTGGCCGGCGATCGAACCGATGTTGCTTGCAGTGTTGCCTCCCATAGAAAAAACGAGCCTCCGAGAGCGCGCAGCGGTGGCGTGGGCGTCGAGGCCCTTGGAGGGCCTGGTGTGTATATAGTATATATACACATATATATATATATATATATATATATATATATATATATATCGCCCCCCTTCCCAGCGACCCTGCTTGAGCGTTGAATTTCCGTGCGTTCCTCGTCGTCGCAGCTCTTGGATTCCTCTTCATCTTCCTCGGCTTCCTCGTTTTTCTCCGATACCTCCTCGTCCGCTTCCTCCTCGTCCTCCTCTTCGTCCTCCTCTTCGTCTTCTCTTCCGTCCTTCCTCGCCCTCTTTCTTTTCCTTGCCCTCCTGCCCGTTTTCTGTGCGCTGCCTCTCCTTCCCCTCGTCCTCCTTTCCCCCTGGGGTCGCGCCCGCCCTCGGGCCCCTCCTGCCGCGCCCTCGCCGCCCTCTCTGCGCAACTGCGGGAGGAGGTGGCGGCGGGGGAGGAAGGGGGGCAGGGCGAGGCAATGGATGGGCGAAGAGGGCGAGAAACAGCGAGAAAGGTGGAGAGGGTGCTTCCTGCTTCCACCGGCACCCGAAAAACGGGCGCCCGAAGAAGGTCCCAGCTTGCGACCCGTCGAACCCAATGATCTTGAGGATCGGCTTGGCCCGCTCTGTGCGATCCCTCCGTGGCTCGGCGTTGGCTCGGGATCTGTCGCTGCGCGGCCAGTGCGTTCCGCGTTCCGACGCTCCTCCCTTCGTGGCTCCCATGGCGGCGGTTGAAGCTCCTCGCGCTGCGGCGCAGGGGTCGAGGCGTTTGGGCGCGCGGCTTCGGGGGGCCCGGCCGCGCGACCGCCAAGCTCGCAGACGCGTAGAACCGCGCTGGAACCATGGACAAGGTCGCCTTCGGTCAGCCTGACGTCGTCGGCGACTTGGGCCGCGACCCCGCCGGGTCAGCGTCGTTTTTCGGCCTGCCAATGTCATGGCGAGGTACTGCGTCGAGTCCGTCGTCGATGCGATCGCTCGCGCACCTGGGGCGGGCGGAGAAAGGCGCGACCGAGGGCGGGCGCGGGGACTTGCAGCCCCGTCTCGACGATGCCGACGCGGAGGGCGTGTTGCCCCGCGCGTTCAGCGCCTTGTTTTGCAAGCGCCCCTCAGAGCAAGGGGCGCGCGTCGTCGCGAAGCGCTTCCAGTTCCTCGGCAGGGGGCGCGGGGCGCTCATTGTGCGACGTCAGGGGTGAGCGCATCGCGGGCGACCCGTGCGCGATGGCGCGGGGCAGATTGAAAGGGGCGCGCCGCGCGCGCCTGCCTTCCAGGTCATGATCGAGCGGTTGGGCGGAGTTCTCCTCCGCCATTGGCGGCTCGAGCGCCTGGCTTCGATGGGCGCGCCTGTCGGCGAGGGTGATGCGGCGACGTGGAAGGGGGGGCTCGCCGGCGCGACGCGGCGTATCATGGCGGAAGCGCCTCGCGCGAATTGCGGTGGCGAGCAGCTGCCGCGGGCGGAAGAGGAGCGCGTCGACCCATTATCTCCGATCGCCGACGCTAGGAAGGAGTTCGTCTTCGAGGTGCCCCGGGCTTTCGGGCCGCGACCACTTCGTTGCAGAGGGGGCCTGCTACCCGTTGCTGCGGGGGGATATGCGGCCTGAGTAGCAGCCCGCGATCGACAAGGTGACCCGCGCGCGGCTCGGCAATGCCGCGCTCTTCATCGGCGATGCCAAGTTCGGCAAAGCGCCACTCTTATTCATTTTGACCGCGGCGTTGGCCAGATGCCGCGCCGACGTCGCCGCGAGCTGCGCGGCCGCGAGGTCGCCTTTCCAGCCGCCCGCGTTGCCTCCGAGATGGACTTCTGCATGCAGGAGGTCCTTTGGGCACCCGAGAAGCATGCGCCAGACGCTTCCGCCTCGGGCTCGGAGGTGCCATGCGAGTGCTTCGCTGGAGATCTCTGGTGGTCTCCGAGACGCGGGCCCCGTGCGCGTTCGACGACGGCGGTTCGTTTGGCCAGCGAACGCGCGCGCTGGGGGCGTTTTTCGACCCGGCGCAGGTCGAGTCGAGCGTCTATGGTCGCTGGGGGGCGGCTGATTTCAAGGGGGGCCAGGCTCGGTTCGGTGGCGACAATGAGCACGGCGCTGGTGGGCCGACACAGGATGACTGGCACTTCGCCGCGCTTGCCGAGAATAATGCGCACCGCGCCGCGCCGTGCCTGGTCGAGATGACCAGGCCCGCTTTTCCGTGTGTGCTCTCTCTGGGTGGTATTTGCGCGATGTTCGAACGTTGCGACGTCCTCCTGAGCGCCGGGTGCAACACTTACTTCCGCCCAGCGGTTGCGGTCGCGACAGTGGAGAAGCCTCCGCTCCAGGGCGGCTGCGTCGCTCCCGACGCGGGCGCGCGCCTCCAGCGTTCCTCGCGCAAGCGCGCGACGCAGCGGGGGGGAGTTCGACGGCCTCTTCGCCGTCGACAAAGAGCGACGCGCCGATGCTGGCGAGGGAGGCCAAGGGGCAGTTCAACCCAGCAGAGCAGGGGCGAGACAGCCGATCGGCCCGCCGCAGAGCCAGCGCGGCCTGGCGCCCCTGCAAGGGCCGACGGCGCGGGCGGGGCCGCCGAGCTGTTCGCCGAGGCGCCAGCGCCGCCTGCCGCTGCCTTGAACCCGGGCGAGGAGGAGCTCCCCGCCGCCGCCATGGGCGAGGGGGAGGGCGTCTTCGGCTCTGGCGGCGCCATGGGCGGGCCCGAGGCCGCGGGGACTTCCCCGAGGTCCAGGGTGGAGACGGGGCCGGGTGTCTGGAAGCGCGCGCTGACGAGTGGCAACGCGTCCTTCGCTTCAACGACGCCGCCCCCGAAGAAGCCCGGCGCCGGCGCCGGGGGCTCGGGGGGGGGGCGCCGCGCTCGACGCCTTGATCGAGGAGTTCTCGGCCGAGCTTGCAGGCGGCGCCGCTTCGAGCTCGTCGACGCGCGAGAGGAGAAGGCTATGCGGGGCATGCCCTTTCACATATCTGCTCATTATTGTGGCGCGCCAAGATTGTTTTGTTTGCGCCTCCGCGGGAAGCGCGATTGCGCGCGGATTGTGCCTCGCGTTCTAGTTCGCGCTTTCGCGATCCCTCGTTCTTTGCTGGGTGCCCAGTGGAATGCGATCGCCGCGGCGCCCGCGGCGATATTTTGGCCCGGGGCCCGCGCGGCCGACCGCGCCCAACGCGTCGCGCGACCTGTGCGGGTTGTCGCGGCGAGGGCTTGGCCGGCCGCCAAAAGGGGTGAGGCCCGCGCGGCGCGGCGGCCCCGACTCGCCGCGACGGAGCTGGCCGCCGCGCCCCGCAAATCGACGAAGCAGGCCTGAGCCCGCCGCGCCCGAGACGGCGCCCTACGCGCGCGGGGCGCCGGCCATGTAGATTCATCGCAATCGCCGGGCAGCGCGGGCGAGGCCCTTCGAGGAATTCCTGAACATGCCCGCGAAGAGCATCGTTGACAAGCTGACGCGCGGCAATATCTCGCCCTTGCGCCGCCATTGATTCCCGTGCCAGAACATACCGAACAACCGCGCGTGCGCAGCATTTCGTGGCGCCGACCGCGCGAAACGCTTCGCGCGTTTGGCTTGTGTGTCTTTTGGTTTTGGAGGCCCAGGAAGAGCGGCGCTGGGCGGGGCGCCGCGTCGAGCGCTGCCGCTTCCCAGGCCCAGAGAACCAAGGAAACCAAACGCGCGCGGCGTTTCCTTGATTTTCAAACCAGACAAACCAAGCAAACCAGACGCGCGCAGCATTTCGTGGTGCCGATCCAACGCCATTATCTCACGCGCGCAATGCCCGTGACGGTCGGGCAGAGCGGATGAGGGAGTTGTGCGGATTGTGAAAGAAACAGTCCATCATACGGATGCGCTCGATGGGTTCTTTGGGGGGTCGCTAGGGGGGGGGGGGGGGGGGGGGGGGGGGGGCGGGGGCGGGGGGGGGGGGGCGCGCGTATATTATACATGTATACGCGCGCATGAAGGGGGCATGCTCTCTTGGGAAGGGGGCCTGATCGGTGGCCTCGGCGCGGCGCGGGGTGCCAAGCTGTCGCGGGCCCGCTAAAAGGGGCTCCGCGGAGGCCCCGAGGGCGCCCGAAAGTGCCCCCAGTGAGGCCACCGAAATCACCGAAACATCCCCATCGCACGCCGACGCTTGCTTGCGGGCAGTTCACGTGACCTCCAAAACGCCCGACGAGAGCTTCAAACTGATCACCGACAGAGGCCCCAGGGGCGGACATCCATTCATGTCTTTCATGTTTTCCGCGGGTGTTCGCGCGGTCGTCTGCTTCGCTGCCCGAGAGCCAGAGACGAAGAATGGCAATGAAGAGTGAGGAGAATGATAGTAATGCGAAATCCATAACAAGACGATGGATTATCAGAGGATGGCGCCAACATCGCAGAGCGGATTGCGTTCGACAAAAAAAAACTGATGGGCCCCGACAGTCCTGCAGGATTTGCCTCCGAATTTCGAAGTGAATTCTGTGCGGGTCCTGTTCTGGCCAGGAATGACGACCGCAAACGTACGAAATTCACATTGATTCTTGCTCGTTGTTTCGGGGCTTTGCGTTGACAGAAATCCACGCGAAAATCCGCCGCAGCGCGTGTGCAAACTCGGTGCACTGATGAGAACAATACCAAACATGATGCGGACATTAAAACATGTTGACCGTACTATAAACATAATGCGGAGCATAGTTTCACCAGTAAAACAACTTTGCCGTACAAATGCGATGCATCATAGTCACGCGAAGGCGATTGTGAAACAGCGTAACAATAGTACTCCCAATCACGAATGAGATCAAACGTCGTATTACTAATACCATGTGCGGAACAGGACAACGTATTCGAATCCAGAGACGGATGATGATACCAAACACCAGAAGTATAATACAAAAGGGATACTGTTCGTGTGCACAAGCAGAACAAGCAAACTAATTCATTGAATGGCAATCATACAGAAATAAGACGATTACGATCAGTACTCACATTAATCGTACAACACGAATATAATACGACTTACAAACAACGGGGCTGCGAACAGTAAAGAGTTCATAAGCGTGCTAGTTGCAATGCGAGGAGGAGGAAGAGGATGACGAGGAGGAGGAGGAGGAGGAGGAGGAGGAACAGGAACAGGAGGAGGAGGAGGAGGAGG